AGAAAAACAAAGATATTAGTGTACTAAGATAGTGAAAAGACAACAAAGGGGAAAGAAATAAAGATATATAAGTGATAGGGGGAGAATTTGACATTGGGGAAGAGATATGACAAAGAAAGGGATCAATTAAAATTTTGAGCACACAAGTAGGGGAAGCAAGCTCATAAACTTGTATGGTGCATTTAAATGTGCATTTCATATGTTTGCTTGCATGGCACAAGCTTTACATTTCAATATCCATGCTTGTGTGTTGTATGCTAGTTGTAGGTTTGGATGATGACATGAAAAACTAGCATGCATAGGTTTAAGTAACTAGACTCATGCTCACATTATGAAAACTAGACTCTTACTTCTATGTTGATCTCACAAGGTATTCTAGTTTTTGTGTATGACTAGTTACTAATGGTGCTAAGGATGGTATATTGGTACACTCCGATTGGTATCACGCTTCAAAGGTCCATCTTTTATACCTAAGCATCATTTGGTAGACATTGTCCCTATATTTCCTATCTAAGCATATGTACAAGCTACAATCCAAACTCTTAGCACATATGTAGGGGGAGCAATTGCTACCATTTGGGGTTCATGAAACTTATCCATATCCTTTTACACATGGTAAATATGTTTGGGCAAGCAACATGGATTCAATTTAAAGTCAATTTATATCTTTGTGTAAGGATTGTCATCAATTACAAAAAATGGGGATATTGAAAGCTCTAATTTGGTTTTGGTGAATTGATGAAACCCTAAGTGCTAACCTAGTTTATCAAAGTGATTATGAGATAGGTGGCACTACTCCAAGTGATGAAGCAAATGAAGATCATGACATGATGATGGTGTTGCCATGGTGATGATCAAGTGCTTGGACTTGGAAAAGGATAAAGAAAAACAAAAGGCTCAAGGCAAAGGTATAAGTGGTAGGAGCCTTTTCATTTCGGTGATCAAGACACTTAGCGAGTGTGATCACATTTAGGTTCGATGGCCGTACTATTAAGAGGGGTAAAACTCTTATCGAAATGCGGTTATCAAAGTGCCACTAGATGCTCTAACTCATTGCATATGCATTTAGGATCTAGTGGAGTGCTAACACCCTTGAAAATGTTTGTGAAAATATGCTAACACACATGCACAAAAGTGATACACATTGTGTTTAGCACTTGGGAGCAAGGTAAGAAACTTCACCGGTGGAGTGTCCACCTGTAGAATGTGGACAGTTCGACGGTGCCATCGACGCCCTGTACAGAAAAGATAGGGTTTCACAGAGTGCACCGGATGCTGGTCTCAACTGAACCGGAGCGTTCGGTCAGTGGAAGCAGTGAAGACGCTGACGTCGGTCTTCGACCGGACGCTGGGTCACTTCGTGACCGGACGCTGCCAGAGTGCGTCTGGTCCCACTGACATGGCAGAGCACAGAGGAGACAGTGTGTGACCGGACGCTGGGTGAGTCCGGTCGAGCATGACCGAACATGTCCGGTCGAGAGTGGAACCTTACTGGAAACGACCGGACGGTGGTGTTGGTGCGTCCGGTCACTTCGAGCAGCACGTCCGATCATCACTTGACCGTTGGGATCGGACGCTCAGTATTTGAAGAGAGGGATGATGTGGCAGCCATCCGTTGACCTAACGCTGGCAGGGTGCGTCCGGTCAATCTGACCGGAGCGTCTGGTCACCTCATGTTGTGCCAGTGAAGGGGTAGAACATCTCTATTTTTTGGGGGCTTCTATTTAAGCCCCATGGCCGCCTCTAGCTCACTCTCTTGGCCATTAGCATTGACATAGCAACCTTATGAGCTTAGCCAAAGCACTCCCACTCATCTCCATCATTGATTCAACATCATTGTGAGATTGGGAGTGAATCCAAGTGCATTGCTTGAGTGTTTGCATCTAGAGGCACTTGGTGTTCGTGTTTTGCTGCGGGATTCGCTTGTTACTCTTGGTGGTTACCGCCACCTAGATAGCTTGGAGCAGTGAGGATCGTTGAGCGGAGGTTGGTGATTGTCTCCAACTTCGATCGTGGTGATTGTGAGGGGTTCTTGACCTTTCCTTGGCGGAGAGCCAAAAGGTACTCTAGTAAATTGCTCGTGGCTTGTGTGATCCTCATCTTGTGTTGGTTGTGCGGCACCCTATTGAGGGTTTGGCGTGTGATGCTAATTAGCGCGTGAACCTCTAAGTGAGTGTATCGCCACAATGAGGACTAGCTTGCCGGAGAGCAAGTGAACCTCGGTAAAAATCATTGTGTCATCATTTGATTCTGAGGCGATTGGTCTTCATTGATATTGATTCTTGTGATTGATTGGTTCATTCCTCGACTCGATGGTATAACCATCTTGCTCTCTCTCTTTACATTACCGTAAACTAGTTGTCAAGCTCTTTAGTGTAGCTAGTCATGAGAGCTTATTAGTTTGGTTAGTGTGGCTCTTTAGTTAGCCTTTGAGAGCACACTAACTTAGTGTAGTGACATAGCCATTGTGTGGATATAGACTATATAAATTAGAATTGTGGTAGGTGGCTTGCATTTTTAGTAAGCTAGCGCAACACTCACTTCGCCTCATATTTGTCTAACCGGTTTGCTAAGTGTTGTTGTAGAAATTTTATAGGCTATTCACCCCCCTCACAACGAGGACTAGCTTGTCGGGGAGCAAGTGAACCTCGATAAAAATCATTGTGTCATCATTTGATTCCGAGGCGATTGGTCTTCATTGATATTGATTCTTGTGATTGATTAGTTCATTCCTCGACTCGACGGTATAACCATCTTGCTCTCTCTCTCTCTCTCTTTATATTACCGCAAACTAGTTGTCAAGCTCTTTAGTGTAGCTAGTCGTGAGAGCTTGTTAGTTTGGCTAGTGTGGCTCTTTAGTTAGCCTTTGAGAGCACACTAACTTAGTGTAGTGACATAGCCATTGTATGGATAGAGACTATATAAACTAAAATTGTGGTAGGTGGCTTATATTTTTAGTAGGCTAGTGCAATACTCGCTTTGCCTCATATTTGTCTAACCGGTTTGCTAAGTGTTGTTGTAGAAATTTTATAGGCTATTTACCCCCTCTAGCCATTAGGACCTTTCACCCGCTCCGCCACGACCGTGCCCCTCTACCCCGCGGCCCTCCGCCCCGCGCTCGGCCGTGAGCGTCCCGCGCTGTCGAGCACCCCGCTCGAGCCTCCGCCTCACGTCGGCCAACCGCACGCTAGCTCTGGTCGCCGCACCGCCCCCCGGCCACACACTGGAGCGAGCGAAGGCGATGACACCGGTGGGAACATTTGGCGCGACTCAACTACCGCGAAACTTGGAACTCCCGCGCACGCACTGGATCTGCGTCCTTAGGTTGGGGACGCCGCTGACCTGTACAACGCTGCGGGAGGAGTCTCGGCCTTGGGCAATGGGACATCCTCGTCGCCTTGTGAGACGACGCGAACCCTGTCTCCTAGAATCGGCGGGTTGATTTTTGTGAAATTGGTGTCGTAGAGACGGGCTCAAGGGACACGTTGTACTTGCCCTAATGGCATATTTGCTCCACACATTTTCGAGAAAACAAACAGCCGCTATTCAGGGTGTTTGGTGTACTACCTACATTCTGAAAATGTTACAGTTTTAGTCTATCCTTCATAAGACTATCTAAGAGCATCTACAAGAGTCTTTTTAAATCTCACTTTCTAAATCGATCATCATTTAAAGTTATTTGCACAAAAATCGCTTTCTATATCTTTCCACTCTCCAACAGTTTTTCTATATCTCATGCGCACTCTAGAGAGTTATTCTCGTCTTCTATTTTTCGTTAGCGAAAAATCCAGAATAGAAGATGACTATATTTGGATAACCATTTAGAGAAGTTATTGGAGGGTAGTATTTCACCAAAATTTCTATTCCTATCATTTAAGAATGATATACAGAGTCTCTTGGAGATATTCTAAAGTTTAATCAAACTTATGAAAAACATTAATATTTATGACTATATATTATAAAAATATACTCCCTCTGAGTCAAATATCTCAAATTTGATCAACACTTAAAGAAAATTACAAAGATTTATGACATCAAATAGGTATAGGTTTAGATGTATTATGAAAATATAATTAATGAAGAATCTAATGACACTTAGTTTGCATCATAAATATTATTATTTTATTATATAATTTTGGTCAAACTTGAGATGTTTTGACTTTTCAAAAAAGTTGAAATGACTTATAACTTTAATGAATATAGTTGATAACTTATCATAAATACTAATATTTTTTTTATAAACTTAGTTAAATTTAAAATGGTTCGACTCGGTACTGTACTACAATTGCATTCTTTTTATCCCGACAGAGGGAGTATTCTCCTTTCGTTTTGTTTATCTTTTGTTTCATTTGGATTGTATTACTGGGGTTAGGGATTGCTGAGCTACAGCCTGCACCGCTGTAGGTCATGATGTAGGTAGTGACGTGGAGGTAGCTCGACTGTATCGATGGTCGGTAGCTTCTAAAATTCAGATAAACTCGAAAGTACTCCCCAAAACGTCTTTTGTTTTATAAGCCCCAAAAGTCCGTAGCATGGTTACTGTCAAATCAATAGTTCTGTTCGCTTATGCTAAAATTTAATTTATGTTGATACTTATATTAAAGTGTTATGAGAAAAAAATACTATGCTATAGCTGAAAAGTAGCTCAACCAAACAGGACCGCTACCTACCCAATCTGCTCACTGAAACGAGCATTATTATGTTCCGGTTTTCTGGAAAATCTCTCGTAACAATGGCCCTGTTCGCTTCTCTTATAATCCGTACTTTTTAGCTTGCTTTTTCAACCAGAACAGTGTTTTTCTCTCACACCAAATCAACCGAAACAATATTTCGGCTTGTTTTTTCAGCGAAGCGAATGAGGCCAATAGGTGCGACGGCAGGCCAATGTTGATTATTGAACAAGTGAACGTGTTGGCCTGTAAAATGTGGTAACGAATGTGTTACAGCAAGAAGAATGAGAAGCCAGGTCGTCTTCATCAAGCGAGAGGCAGTAACCGATTCTAAAACGACTGAATGCTATCTACAGGCTTGGGCATGGGCTCATCTCGCAGGAAGTGCTCGAAGAGCTTCAGGCCCTGCCGCGGACGGTGCAGGGGAACCTCGTGCCCTGCACCTCGGATCGTGACCAGTGTCAATCCCTTGTACACTTGGCACCACCCACCAACCTAAGCAAGATTCACACAGTAAGATTCCAGCACGAAGAAGGCAGTGAAAATGTCAAGGTGGATGTAGTGCTGCCACTGACTTACCTCTTCATCGTCGTACCAAGGATACCAGTTTGTGACAGTTTGTAGAAAGAGGGCATCAATGGAGTATCTTGTCGCGGTGAGGGGGACAACAGAATCAGCATCACCACTGCCAAATTGTCCAATGTAAGAGATTTGTAAAATCCATATTCAAAAGAACAACCACACACATTGATTTATCATAAATTTCTTATGTTAAACATCAGCAATGTTGCCACTTCCAAAGATTTAGAGTTGAGCGCAAACCATGATCTAAACAGAAACTCAACGTACCTGAAAACCCATATCCTTAAGCCTGCAGCGATAAGTTCACGGTATATAGGAAGCATCGATCTCGGCGAATCTTTCCAATAATCATAGACTGGGTCACTGCAAAGAATCAGTGGTGTTTAGTGCGTCTAACTAAGAAGAGGCAGCTTTGCTGGCAATCAAAAGAAATACTTGTGACAAAACCAGCAGAACAAACCTGCAGGTTACCCAGGGGTATGGTATTCCAGTGACATTGGCATGTAAAGCTTTCTGCACCTCAGGTAAGTTGTAGTACTTTGTGGAGTACTTCTCGGTGCAGGGATCATATCCTCTGGGCAACCAGGGCTACATTTGAACAAGTGTGATGTCAGGAGATACATGAACTATTATGCTTCACAAGTATTACACTTCCAGAAGTGTGAAACTACAGTAAGTAGTTGCACGGGTGTCAGAAAGAGTAAGATGCCATGTTTTGGTAGCAAAGCAAATGTACCGTTCTTCCTCTTATTAGCCTGCGCTTATGAAGTGAAGTCTTCTTACAAGTTGGCGTGTAGATGCTGTATGCATCAATATTGCCTTCCTCAGCCTCAGCAATGTCAAAGATCTTGTTGCATTTCTTCGACGCATGCTCAGATACCTCAAACTGACAGGCCAACCGCAACTTCTCATAGGTTTCATCAGAGATAAGCCCATGTGTCCACATGTACTCAAATGTGCCAATGAAGTCATGGTAATCATCAATTACCGCATTTCCAACCTACAGTATTGACTGACCACTGTCATTGTGAACAGAAACGAGGAAACAGAGCATCAAGAAAAGATATAGATTCAAGAAGTTCTGAGTTCTGACCATGAAGCCTTTGAAGTTTAGGATTGGCTTCTCGATGCCTTTGTTGTTCCGGTATACTAGTTGAGACAACTGAGGCACATAGTGGCCTGAACACAGTCATTGCAACCAATTAGGGTCGAGGAGTGTAAATGTAATTGCTGGGTGACGCTAATAACTGCAAAATCCTCATCGTAAATTGGCCAATTTTGACAGCAATTCACCTGCGTAGCTCTCTCCCGTGACGTAGAAATCGCGATACTTGTATCGTGGGAACCGCTCCAGCCAATTCACCAAGAAATTGTACGAATCATGGGCTACAGAAGAGCATGAGACGGAAACACCTATAAGAGCATCTCCAAGAACCTTTCTAAATCTCACGTTCTAAATCATTATTTAGAGTCATTTATATAAAAATCGTTTTCTATATCTTTTCATTCCCCAAAAGTTCTTTTATATATCATGCGCACTCTAGAGAGCCATTCTCGTCTTGTATTTTTGGCTAGCGAAAAATCCGAAATAGAAGATGACTATATTTAGATAACCATTTAGAAAAAAACTGTTGGAGGGTAGTTTTTCACGAAAATCTCTATCCCTAACATTTATGAAAGATATGGATAGCCGCTCTGTTCGTTTGGGCTGAAATCTCTATACCTTATAAGCCATGGCTGAAAGAACTGTTGACTGGTTTAATATGAAAGAAAAATATTGTTCGTTGACTGATAAACCATGGCTTATAAGCCAGATACGACCAAACGAAGAGGCTGAGTCTCTTGGAGACGCTCTAGGAGCGAGAATCTCTGCTGCTAAAAAAAAAGTGATACGGACCCGTCTAGCTCCCGTGGTGAAGCCGCTAGCATTGAAAACTCCCGGTGTTTTTGTACTGCGCAGACATGTGGGCCACGCTCTCCCCGCTCCGTAGCCGCAGCATCGCCCCAGTCCCGTCCGCCGCCCGTGACCCAAATTTCTCGTTCTCCCCAACTTCTCTCCGATCCGCGACGTGCCCCACGCGCTGCTAGCGGCGCTCGTCCCCTCACCCCCGGTCAGCCGCGCTCGGCCCCTTTTCCTCCAACCGGCGGCACTCGGACCCTCCCTGTCGGCGGTGGCACACTCTATTCCCTTCCTCCTCACAGGCAATGCTCGGCCCCCTCCCGCTCAACCGGCCTCGGCGCACGCGGCACCCTCCTCTACGGTGGGGCTGTTAGCAGCGCGTGCTCTGTCGTCTCTCGGACGGCAGCGCTCAGATCCTTGGCCAGGCGAGCGCTCAAGGGCCTCGGGTTCGTCAGCCACACCACGGGCTCCTCCGACACCGACAACTGTGCTGGGCTTGGGCGCAATGTGGAGGAGAGGTCCAACGTGTTCGCAAGCGACGGCCTACTCGCCCATGATGACTGCAGCGACTGCATCTGTATGTTTCGTCCAAAGAAAAGTTCTGTTGGTAGCCATGAACGACGCAATTACACGCATCTATTGTACGAAATCTTGTGGTCGTTGCCATGAATGCTTTTTCTCAGCCTCCCTTTGCCTTAGATTTTCTAATATCCTGTCAACTATTGCCACTACTATGCTGTGGCTTGGATTCACAGAAATCAAAATAGCATTTTTTTTTGGGTCCAAGGACTTTGTAGAAAAAGTGCATTCAGTTTGCCTAGATCCTTCTTTTATCTTCTTTGTACATTCTATTGATGAATGATGCCGTGATTTGCTTGACTCTTCTAACTTATTGTCTTATTCCATTACCTAACACTTTATAATGTATTGTTGATATACATACACAGTAAAGATTTTTAAAACCTCAGGGAATGTTGAAATATGTGCTTTCATAGAACAGATTTCTGCTGCAACATCAAGGAGCTTGCTGCTCTGCAAGGTCTGCTGGCGTGCTCATCTCTTGATGTGAGTGATCACCTTACCTGCATCAACTCCATACCCTTTCACCAAACCATAAGAATATTGTTCACGGTCATGGACCATGACATGGGGGATGAGGGCTAAATCTTTGCAGTCCACCAATTGGGAACCAAAAGGTAGCTCTGTGTTTAATACTTTTCAAGATATGGAGAGCAGGGGAAAGACTGTAATGGAGTAGTATGAGCTGGGCATATTGCTGGGGAAAGGCACATCTGGCAAGGTGCACTATGGAAGGAACCTTTAGTCCAAAAGAACTGTTGCTATTAATATGAGGGACAAGGACAAAGTGCTCAAGGTTGAGCTTTCATAGCAGATAAAGCATGAGATCACAACAATGCGGTAAGTGGCACATAATTGTTGATCTTCATAAGGTCATGGCGACACGAAACAAGATCTACAGCAAAGGGGGAAATTCTTAGTGAATGCCACCACAAATGCTGCCCCAGCACTTGCTACGAGGCGTCGAGGCGCAAGAAGAATACTCATGAAGATATGTATGTTTTTTTTAGGGAAATGAAGATATGTATGTTGATTTTCTCATGCAGTAATTTATTTTTCAGTTCTTGCTGCATCAATCAAAACGCTTTTTAAGATCAAATGTATGCTTCCAATCAGGTGTTGATTGATTCAGTCTTGTGTTGAGCTTCTGATTGAATCAGAAGGCTTTCTAAGGGACTCGGATTCAGATCAGGTGCAAACGGAGGCCGATGAGTTGCAGTCTTGTGTTGAGCATCTGAAGTGACAGATAAATTCAGACAACAGACAACCTTCACCTGTTAAAATTTTGTCTATAATGGCAACTTTTGAAAAATTAGTTTTGGCCTCCGTGCAACTTCAGAGTTCAGACAACCTTCAATAACAAAAAGCCTTGTCTTTATTACTCAAATAATTTGTTGTCTTTATTTCTCAAATAATTTGAGGCATGAATGTATCATCAGACATTTTGACCGACATGATAAAAAAACACAGCACATAGAACATATATGATCCTACAAGTCAATATAATTTTGGATGTATCTGGTTTTAGATAAATTGGGGCAGTGTTTTTTTTTATCTTTATACTTATGTGAAAAAAGTTTGAATATAAGATTGTCTTTCCCATTGCAACGCACGGGGAGTCATCTATCGACAGTAGGAGAATGGATACATGTAGAGTCAAAGAACTGACAAATATGTAAATCACTCCCGCAATTCACCTGTCTTGTTGTCACCGGCAGTGTACAGATCGGAGGTGGTGTTGGAGTAGGAGTAGCCGACGCCGGCCGGCGAGTCCAAGAACAGCATGTTCGCCACTGCAACAACCCAACCAGCCAGTCATCCCCATGACAAACACGCTACAGATCAAAGGCGAGCGCGCCTAGGCATCAAAATTGGACCTTTATTCCAGGGGTAGGGGTTCAAGTAGAGCGTCCTGCCGTCGGCGTTGATCCGGAAGGCGCCGAGCTCCTCCGACGCGCCGTAGCCGACGGAGGAGCACCCGGGCCCGCCGTTGAGCCAGAGCACGAGCGGCGCGGACTCCGCGGGCACGCCGGCCGCCTCGATGAGCCAGTAGAAGAGGGCCCGCCCCGCGGCCGCGTCGACGGTGACGTAGCCGGAGTACATGGAGAAGTTGACCGGCGGCTGGCCCGGCAGGCTGCCGATGCGGTCCGCCTCCGCCGCAGCCGTCGCGGCCGTTGCGGACGCGGCGCGGAAGAATAGCGCTAATATGGCGGCCAGGACCGCGGCGGCCGCCATTGGCGCTCGCGGCAGGTCACTGGATCGGAGGGCAGCGCTGGTTGATGCAGAGGAGCAGAGCGCACGGACACAGACACAGAGTGATGAGGATTGGACTATTGGAGGCTTCGAGTGGAGAGCCAATGGATGGAACGGAATGGCTGCTGACTAGTAGGAGAATTTTGGGGAAGCGTGGAACGGCGCAAGGCAAGAACATGGAGTGGTTGTTCGCCTTTGGAGATTCCGTCATTCCGGTGGTTGGTTGGCTAGGCTGGATCGTCACTCGTCAGATCGGCTGAATGGTTTGATATGGGGAGATTTAAGTATTTGCCATCGTTGTGGATGGTATCTCCCCGTTTGCTAGTTTTAGTTGACATCTATAAATTTGTCGTAGCAAATATTAATCTGGTCATAGTAATCCTCGTACGCTTTTGTCACTTTTGCTGATGTGGCAAGCCATGTTGGCAAGCCAGCGTGGCAACGTACCTGGGAGCCCTAACTTGCTACGCGAAAAGACCTTGTTGCCCTCGCCTCCTTCTGTCTTGTGCCCCAAACGCAAACGCGGTGGATGGCTCTGAGAAGGACTGGTTGCGGCGACGGTCAGACACCGCACGCGTCGCTCTAGAACTCGATCCAGCGCGGTGCCTTGCCGCTGCAGGCCGCGTCGAGGCTGTGGCACGTTCGCACATGCACGGCGTGGTGGCTGCCTCGTCGTCGTGCTGCTGCGATGGCCCCCATGGGTCCACTGCGGGAAGTAGGAGTCGTGGTGAAGAAGTGGAGGACGTCAAGGCCGCGACAGAGGACATAATCGACGGTGACAAAGAACATCGGGTTGCCGGCGAGGCAGGGGCAGCAGGGCAGGGAGCAGCTGTCGAAGGAGCAGCTGTCGAAAGAG